GTTTGCTAACAAAGTTCTATGCTGATATGGGGCCGGCGCCTCTCTGTCAGCTAGACCTTTGAGCATTCGGTCTCGGCCTTGAGTCCATCGGCCTTGAGCTCGAGTCATTGCCTCGCGGGACTCGAGCTCCTCAGGACTCCCACTGGCCCTTCTCTCAAGGGCCAGCCACCCGGGTCCCAGGGCCCAAGCCCTCAAGACTCGCGTCTCAGGCCAAAGGGCTCTCATGCTCCCGGGACCCTCCTCGGCGCCTCTCTTTGGTCCCTACGTCTTCCTCTACAAGACGTTCCGGCAAGGCTCAGCCACCAAGAAGCTTGAGCCTGCCCATCGGGCTCTCCTCCAATAGCGTCTCCCTCCATCGACGCCGAGGAGTTCTCTCCAGCCTCAGTCACCAAGAGGCTGGGGTCCTGCCAGGGGCCGCATCTCACCAGCGGCCACTGCCTCGTCTACGCTTCAACAGGTCTTCGGCTCCTGTTTAGATGAGGAGTCAGGACGGACGTTTTCAAGCAATTGAACGTCCGTCCTGATATTTTAAAGCAATTCAATGTCGGTCCTGACTCTGAGGGCAAGAGGAGTTAGGAGCGACTTTTGCAAGAAAAAGCGTCGGCCCCGACTGTCAGAGTAAAAGGAGTCAGGGCCGACGTTTTCAAGCAATTCAATGTCGGTCCTGACTCCAGCGCAAAAGGAGTCAGGACCGACGTTTTCAAGCAATTCACGTCTGTCCTGGCTCGGAGGCCAAGCGACTCTGGGCCGCCTCTCTGAATCCTGCTCAGATGAGGAGTTTGTCAGGACAGACGTTTTCAAGCAATTGCTCGGTCGGTACCAAGGGTCTGGCCATTTGCGCGGCCCTCGGTCTGCTAGGCCAAGACAGTCCTCCGAGAACCCCGTCACCAGAGGGGCTCGAGGCATGTCAAAGAGCTGGCCGTATCCACGGACTTCCCGTCTTCCACATCAAGGCGGGTTCCGTGCGCAGACGGTCCCCTCGAGCGCGGCCACCAAGACGCTTGAGGGATGGCCCAAAGGCCTCGCCGTACCACGGCCCCCGGCTCCTTCCTGGCCTCGGAATCTTTTCCAGGCCAAAACATTCTCTCCAGCTGTCGGCTGCCACGCTGCCACGCTGCCTCGATCCCGTTCTCTCGGGGTAGGGATCAGGTGGGGAGTTGGCTCAGCCCTACAAACGGTAGGGCTCTTCGCCTGGCAGCAGCCTCGCCTCCCCGGTCGCCCGCCCGCCATCCTCTCGCCTCTGGAGGGCAACGGCAAGACATCTGCGTGGTCCCCAGCCTCCTCATGCCTCTCGGACCGTCGCCGCCGCCTCGTCCAGCAGGTTGGCTTCCGCCAAGTACCCCAGCATTGCTGGGGTAGTTGGGAGGCATGAGAATGCGGCCGCTCGATACCATGGGCTTCTCTTCGGGGAGCAATAGCTTCGGCCTCTCAACAGAAAGCAGTGGCACAAGCTCCCCAAACCAGTCCCGGTATCCTTTGCAGGATGCGGCATATGCCAACCTCACTGCGCTCAACAATCCCACGCCGAGATATGAGCAGCAGGCAGGCGTATGCCTGGCACATCAGGGCGCTGCTGTTGCAATACCAACAGCAGCAACAACAGCAGCAGCGGCAGCAAGGGCCAGAGTGCTCTCTGGCCCTCACATTGATTAATGGCGTGCCGCTCACGCCGTACCAAAAGGCCTTCGCCGCGCAGCAGCTTGTTAGCTTGGCCATGAGCACTCCCACAGCGGAGTCGCAATGGGCCCGCGGCAAGCGCATCACCATGTCGCGCCGTGCCCGGGCAGTGCCTGAGTCTGATGACCGATCGCTCCGCTCCGCACGCGGTGCTCGACATCAGCGCCCCCCCCCCTGGCGCAGCCAGTCCGATGACTCGATGCCTTCTAGGCTTCGATAGGATGGCTGCAACCTCGACCAATGCTGCTGTTGGTATTGGGGGTGCTGAGGGATGCTCCGGCCCCCCGGGACCTGGTGGCCCGGAAGTCTGCGTCCGGGTGAGCGGTTGCTGGCCGCGGCCCCTGTCGCAGCTCCTGCGACCATCCTATGCTGCCTCTTCTTGGGCGTGGATGGTTGCTGGCCGCGGAGTCTCCGGGTGCCGGCGCCGATGGATGCGGCGGCGGTGGTGCCGGTTCGCTGAGGCCCAGCGATCGGGGCCACTCCCGGGGATGGGCCCGGCAGCAATCGCAGGCATTCTGGGCTGTGGGTTGCTGCCGGCGCCATCAAGGCGCGGCCGGCCCAGTTGACCCGGCATCCCATGCTGGCCCAACTTGGCTGCTGGTGCCGCAGCCCCGTAGCCGACCCGGACACCACGGGATCCAGTTCCAGAGCTGGTGAGCGTGGCAGAAGGGCAGCCGGTCCGGAGTTGGCCCTTGTGAAGCCTGCCCGGCCCCAGGACAACTCCACCGTCCCATGGCGCAGCCGCCGAGCGTGCCAAAGGCTGATGGTCGCCCGAGCGTGCGCCGGGCTGATGGAGCCTGGCCTGCCCAACCCTGGAGCAGGGGACCGTCAGCGCTGCAAGCTGACGGTAGGGGGGCCCCGGTAGTGTAGGCTCCGGGCGCGCTGTGCCTGGTGCCTGCCCCCGCGACATTGCCCTGCTCAGGCATGTTGGAGTTGTGGGCTCGCCCAGCCCCGGTCTATCCAGGCGGCCGAGCTGGGAGGTAGGGAGCGTTTGGAGGGATTGGGTTTGGCGGTTGGGGGGAAGGGGGGGGGGACGGGTTTGGGGGGACTAACACTGGCAGCTTGGGATGAGGCAGCGCTGGGTGCTGCTTCGCGGACGACTTGGTAGTCGCCCTCGCCCTTCAGCGTAGGGGTCGGCAGCGGCTGCCATGTCGGGAGGATCTGGGTTCGGTGGCGGTCTCGAGGGATGGATGTTAGGATGGGCTTTTTTTTTTGGTTCGGCGGTGGTGTCGGGAACATGGGGGTTTGGTAACGGGGTGGGCGTTTTAGGGCACTAACTTCCAGCGTTGGTAGTTGGGCGGGATCAGCCTGGGTGGAATGTATGTCTTGTTCTTTACGCTGGTACCTGCCTAACGTGATTGATACCTGTAAACGTGACTGATATCTATAGCTGGCACTGGTGACTGTAGGGGGCTGAGTGCGTCAGTTAGAATGCTCTAAATCCCCCTAGGGGGCAATAGATAGCTGACGAGCCGGCAGCTAGTGATGATGGCACTGAATATGTCAGTGCTGATAGTGATGGAGCCGGCGACGGCGATGTCGGATGGCAATGTTGGTGATGTTGGTGATGTTGGTGATGTTGATGTTGGTGATGTTGTTGATGTTGGTGATGTTGTTGATGTTGGTGATGGTCGGTGGTTGAGCCGATGTGGCACAGACAAGAGCTTACAGTGGCTAACCCCTGAAATTACAGTGGATAACCGGCGCCGTCGCAGCGGCCGTTAGTGGACTCCGGCCGTTTTAGCCAGCAATTAGCCGCCTCAACCACCAAACAAACGATCTGCCTGCACTGTCGACCACCTTGAACAAACAATTCTCTACGAATCCATCACGCCTTCGCACAATATCACAATGAGCCAGCCGGCGAAGCAGGTAGCCAAGGGGCACTCCAGAAACAAGTCGTCTACATCACGAAGTACGTGCATTGCCCCTTCTCTTCGTCCCCGCTAACATTCCTAGCTTCGAGACCACGCACATCAACCAAGGGACCGCTGGACGTGGATGAGTGAGTTACTCATCTGCCTTTAATCATTCCTGCCATGCTGATCTCGGCAGTGACCCTTTATCGACGCCCAGCACCCCATCTGCCGCACAAATGTCACCAAACCCCAGCCTGCGCCGGGCCGCGGCGTCACCCCGCCCAGCGTCGTCACCGGCATCACAAATCGGGGAGCCGCATCGCAAGGACTTTTCCTTCCTGCTGCGCCCCGAAATCTACCATCCGCTCACGCCCCTCAACGTGCCGCTCGCCTTCCGCAGCCCCCCACGGCAGCAGCCCGACCCGCGTGACCAGCCCGAGGCGCTGCTCGCGCGGGGCCACTTCCGCGCCGCCGCCATCGCCGCCGTGCAGGAGCTCACCGGCAGCGGCGGCTCCGGCCCGGGCGTCGACGCGCGCGACACGCGGCGCATCTTCGACCTCCTGTACGCGCGCCTCGCGTGCCTGACGCTCATCGACGCCACGCCGCTCGCCGCGCAGGAGGTCAAGGCGCTCGAGGACCTCAACAGCGCGCGCACCTACGTCGACGACGCCACCGGCGAGCACCTCGTGCCATGGGCGCTGCGCGTGCTCAACGTCCGACTGCAGGCGCTCGGCTTCGGCGACCCGCGCCGCGCCGTCATGAGCTACCACGACCTGGCCCGCGAGGCCCGCGAGCGCGTCGCCCGCGCCGCCGCCCGCCGCGACCACTCCGACGCCGAATTGTGGAAGGCC